ACTGAGGCACGGTGCCAGGTCCCCAGCCACCCAGGGTGAGGGGACAGAGGGTTGGTCCCTTGGGGACACCGTCGGGGTCTTACTTGGGGATGGGGGAGAAGATGCTGAGGCCAGCACGAAACTTCTTGATGGTGCCGCTCGTCTTGAACCAACTGTGCCGCTTCTCCTGCTGGGTCTTCAGGAAATCGTTGCTGAGATGTTTCCATTGCTGGGACGTGAACATGCCCAGGATCCTGGCAGAGAGGTGGCATGGGTGCCCAAGCGGGGTGCCAGCACCCATGGGTGCTTCGGTGCCCACTGAGCTTGGCGCATGGGTGGTCCATGCCACCCAGCTCCTCCTCTTCCCCACCCAAAACTGGTGGTGAGGCTGTCAAGGGGCTGTGGGGCAGGTAAAAGGTGGTGGCATGGGGACATGTGGCACCTGGCCAGGTTGGGGGCAAAATGGTGACCCCGTGGCCCACCCACCACCCTTGGGTGCCCATTGCGTTTCGGCTCTTACTTCTTCAGCTGCAGACCCAGCCCGAAGCCCTCCTTGTTGGATGGCTGGAAAACCTCGATGGACGGTTCTGCGGAGAGAGAGAGGAGGACAAGCCGTCAGTGCCACCGCCGTCCCCGTCCCGAGGGCACGTGGGGACACCGTGTCCTGCCCATCCCCACTCACCGGGGCCATCGAGGTACTGGGAGAGGGAGAAGCGCAGGCGGAGGACGATGGGCTCCGTCCGCAGCACCTTCCACGCTGTCGCCACCTCCTCCTGCCGAGGGAAAGCCACGATGTGGCACAGCCGCGGGGACCCCCAGCCGGGGAGGGAAATTTGGAGACCCCCCGCGCATGTGTCTCCCCCCTCCCTGTGCCAACAGCGGCAGGGGCACGCCGGGGACTCACATCGAGGAAGCTGATGTTCACATGGAGGTCGATGTCCACGTCGTCGATGGTCCCGTACTCCCTGCGAAGACACGCGGCGCCATGGCGGGGGGGGGATGAGGGGAGGCTGGGCAGGGGCGGGGACCACC